GGGGGGAATTTTCATTTTCTCAGTGTGAGTTTGCTTTGATAGGTAAGATTAGAAGTCTGCCTCCTAAATGATAGAAATTTTGTAGTTGTTGACATTAAAAACACCCACATGAAAGGAAGAAAAAATTGTAGCTGACCTTTCTGTTTGCATTTCGAGATGTGTATTGTGGTGAGGGACCAGAGACATCGACATCTAAAAAAAGATTTAATAAAAAAATTATTGTAAGGGTAATTTTTTTCCCTCCTCTGACAGGTTCACAACTGCATCCACTTCCTCCCACAAACGTCTGAGTCGGAGATCTCCTTCATCTTTGCCTCTGAGAAGTCGGGCTTCTGCCACCTCTACCTCATCACCTCAAAGCTCCGCCCCCAGGGGGTGGGATTTCTTCACAGTGGGCAGGGCGACGGGCCAGGTGATTGATGTGTTGTGATGGTTTGTTGGATGGACTAAGCGTTATACGGCGCCTGCAACACAGTTAGGTCATACAAGTGCCGAAAATTAGAAGTGTCACAATGGAGATTAACATACACAAAAAAAGGAGGAGAGATAAGGAGGATGAGAGGCGTTTGATAGGAAAGGAGCAAATTACAACAGAACCCCCCGCCAACCGCCCAGGATGGTTTGTGTGGAAGTGGAATATTTAGTTTGGAAATGGGAACAGGCTGTGTTGAGGGTCTCATTTTTGTTATAAGAAAAGTCATCACCATCATTGCCTTTCTCACCATGAACAAACAGTTTCCATCTTTCCTTTTCCTGGGCTGGCCGCCTGATGTCACCCCATATCTTCCCACTTTTCTGTACGTGAATTTCTGTGAGTTTTCTCTTGTTCCCACATGGTCTTCCCCTTGATCTTTTACCCTGTGGGTTCTGATCCAACGTTTTCCTTGTTATGCAGCTGCTTGACTTCCTGAGAGTGTGGTCAATTCAGAAAAATGCTGAACATATTTTGTGCTATGCATAGAAATTTCTTGTGCTTATTATTTGTCTCCGGTTGCCCACACATGTGACGTCTCCACTCAGAGTGAAACGTGAAAAGAGAAGTGTTACATTTTTTCACAGTGGCTTCACTTACAAAACTGACCGGGGGGGAGGGGGATGTACTCTTAAAATAATCTAACTTATAAGTCAAACCGTTTCTGTGTTCATTTGTGAGGCTTGCTGTCAAAATCAAGTACTTCTCGCAATCAACGAATGGATATATCGGTCAAAAATAGACTCAGGGATCAATTTTGTAGATTTTCGAATGGTGCGATTTTGTTAAGCTTTACTTGTGTTTTATTATTTCATAACTTTCACGAAATTGAAGATGAATTTCACTTTTATTTTCTTTTGTCCAAATTTTGTCCATCTAAGAAAATTGTCAATTCTTCCCGGCCTGACTCGGCCCAGTGACCGAAAAATGCAATGTTTGACCCATGATAAGAGATATGTTCACAACCTGTACCTTTTCATTATGGAAACTTTATTTAACAAATGAGTGTTTTATGTGATGTGAAGTGGGCCAATGGCCTTCAACACTGAATAAACTTACTTACTAAGTAAATGTATGACGACACCAGCCAGCTTGATAACCTTTGATCTCAGTAAACGGGAATATATGTGTGATTTGATGAATTTGAAAAATACTGCCCCCCCCCCACCTTGCCCACCTGTATTCTTTGTTAAACGAAAACTACTGTTGGGGGACTGACCTGAGGATTTAGCTTAATCCTGTTACTTATATCCTTAATCCCCTTCCCACACCACACCACCCCACCTCAGTGTCTGTGGTGTAATACCTAGGCACTTTGCCTTCACATGCAAAAGACCTGAGCTGATTTGTTTGTGTGAGGTGAGGGGAGGAATTTTTATCAAGTCTCTCCATTGTATCACTTTCAGCCCTGGTTGGCCTGACAGGCAGGGTTGAAGCTCACCTCCTAAATAATCTAAATTGTAACAATGATGGCGCCCTTGAAACACCAGTGTAAAAAAAACCCAACCAACTACACCCCCATCCCCTAACACCCTCACCCCCCACTCCCGTCCACACCCCAAAATTATGAAAAGAACAAGCAAGTGATGAGCCAGTGCTATCTGATGTTGAATGAGAGCAGCGAGGGGTTACCAAACAAGCTGTGTCCGTCATGTGTGTGTGTCAGTCACTCCTTTGGATCTTTTGATCTTTTTCCAAATGTCCAAAAGGATGAGGTTGATCTCCCCTTTTCCCACAGAGAGTTACCCGTCCCAGGCTGTCAAGGAAGTGGTCTTGACCTCAGGCCAGTGGGTCGTTCTTCCAGAGCAGGTGAGTTTTGTCATCATAAGTTTTGTGACTCTTAACACTTTTCCTCCACACAGTGCACAGAATACATAGCCTTTGTCCCCATGTACCAGGAAGCAGATCGGGTACATCAGTACAATACCTGTATCTCGGCAAAAAAACCCAACAACCTGATCGTTAAGAAATTTTCAGCATATTGAACAAATTGAACTTGATGATTGCATATTCATCAAAATAGGAATCAGAATCTGAACTAAAAACATTAGATCTCGCATTTTCATCGCCCGAATTCTCATCATAGCGATACTAAACCAGCTTTCATGCTAGATCTACTCAACATTTTTCAAAGATTTCCACTCTAATTGTGATAAACAAACTGATTTCCTTCCTAAAATGCCATACAAACCATTCAGGAAGAAAGTTATAACTTTAACTAGTGTGCATGTCAAAATGCAGATCATTGCTAAACCTTTTTGTTGCTATTTCACATCATCGCCGATTGGGGTCTAGTGGGAAAAAGGACAGTTTCTTACTATCGCAGATCGGCGTACTGTTGGGAAAACGAATGGCTTCTGACTGTCTCCGATCGGCTTCCTGTTGGGATATAGGACAGTTTCTCACTGTCACTGATCGGCGTCCCGTGGGGGAAAAGAACAGTTTTTCACTGTCACCAATCGGTGTCCCGTGGGGGAAAGGGACAGTTTTTCACTGTCACCGTTCGGTGTCCCGTGGGGAAAAGGGGCGGTTTCTGATCGGCGTTTTGCATGGAGCAAAGTGTTTAAGTGATCACAGTATACAGTCAGGCACAGACAATATGAACACGAAAAACGGTAATTCGTACAATTTACCTTTCCCTGACTGCATTCTTTAGGTTATTTTGGGGAGTATAAAGATTTCCACCCATCTGGCTTAGAACTATTGGAGATGGATGTTAAATCTGGAGGTCCTCTATCTTAAATAACCTCGCAGTTTTGAAAAGAAAGTTAAAACTTTATAATTAACAGTGGTCATTGAAATCCTCAACACTGAAAAATATGCAGTGAATGGTCTAACATAACCCTTCTTCAACACGCCCAGAATGATTTTTACAATGCAAATTAACGAGGAACCCATTCATAATAGAAAAGTAAAAGAAAGAAGTTTACTCTTACAGCAGGCTACAGCGGCAGTAGTACCAAGGCATCTGGAGGGTGTCTTTGAGGACTCTGTCACAAAGTAAGACCAGTGGGTACAAAAGGTGTTGAACCCAATACACAAAAAAAAAATTGCCTAATGGACGGAAAAATGTCTTATTTCTTCGATTTGATTATTTTGATGAGTGCTTGATTTCACCATTGTGGTGTTAGTGGCCAAGTGGTCGGACTACCGGACCCGTAATGGTGAGATTGATGGTTCGAGGGATTGAGCCTTAGCTTGGTCTCACATTGTGTCCTTGGGTAAGGCACTTTACGCGAATTTCCCCATTCATCTTGGTCCTTTTGGAGATGGACATTGAACTTGGAGGTCCTGCCTCTTAAATTACTGAATAGTGTTGATAGGGGCGTTAAAGCTATACCATTTAAAAAAACAAGTTTCACTATGATGCCTTACAAATTGTTTTATCTGGTCATTGTGCAGGTGCTGGTGGACGAGGCGCGTCAGATGGTGTACTTCATGGCGCTCAAGGACACTCCTCTAGAGCATCATCTGTAAGTGGTAAAAGTAAACTTTAGCACTCCCTCGTGCTGTGTGTGGTGTACATTGTGAATGAGCATGTGAGTGTGTGTGGTGTGTATGTTGTGAGGATGTGTAGTGTACGCCATAGGAAGGGGGGGGGGGGGGGGTGGTGTTCATTGGGAGTATGTGTGTTAGTATGTG